TGTAGTGTCCTCAAGTGTCCTGTAGTGTCCTGTAGTGTGCTGTAGTGTCCTGTAGTGGCCGGGGTCCTGTAGTGTCTTGTAGTGTCCTGTGTCCTATAGTGTCCTGTAGTGACGGGCGTCCTGTAGTGTCCTGTAGTGGCCGGGGTCCTGTAGTGTCCTGTAGTGTCTTGTAGTGTCCTGTGTCCTATAGTGTCCAGTAGTTTGCTGTAGTGTCCTGTGTCCTTTGTCCTGTAGTGGCCTGTGTCCTCAAGTGTCCTGTGTCCTTTTTCTTTTAGTGTACTGTAGCGGCCGGTGTCCTGTGTCCTGTAGCGTCCTCTGTCCTTTAGTGTCTTGTAGTGTCCTTTGTCCTACGTCCTGTAGTTTCCTATAGTGTCCAATGTCCTATAGTGTCCTGTAGTTTCCTGTAGTGTCCAGTGTCCTGTAGTTTCCTGTTGTGCCCAGTGTCCTGTAGTTCCCTGTAGTGTTCTGTGTCCTACAATGTCCTGAAGTGGCCTGTTTCCTGTAGTTTCTTGTAGTGTCCTGTGTCCTGTAGTGTCCATTAGTGTCCTGTGTCCTCTTGCGGCCTGTTACCTGTAGTGTCCTGTGTCCTGTGGTGGCAGACCAACAGCAGTTGGTGGGACCCACTCCTGAGTCTCCAGTAGCATGGCAGCCCCTCTGCCCACCGACTGGTTTCTGTTTCCCTCCACAGAACCAGACTGTGTCGTGCGTGTAAACAAAGAGCTGGGCTGTTCTGTCTTCGGCCGTCCGAGCGTGACCGGGGCCGGCAGCCTCCCGACAGCCGAGGGTCCAGGAACAAACCCGGCCCAGACACCTCCAGTAGAGTCCTGAAATCAGGGGGCTGTGGTCTCTATCAGCACCTATACACATGTAGGGGGGCTGGCAGATCCTGGCTAGACCCCCTCCCCCCAGGAGCCTCATCCCTTACTGCCTGAACACGTCCAAGGGTCAGTTATCGGAGTCCTATAAATGCTAAGGACCCAGAGCTGAGGAATTCCCTCCAGATGTTTGGATCTAATGAATCTGAATTAGGAAAATGAGCAGCAGCCAGTAGGATGACGCCCCCCCCCCCCCCCCAGGCCCAGGGGGGCGCAGTGTTTTCCCACCCTCTCAGTCACTTTCTGGCATTCTCTATATATATACACACGTACATTTTTCTCTCTGCGACCTCTGACCCTGCGGCGGTCCAGCAGGAAGAAATCTGAGGCCTTCTGTGGCTTTACCGCCACAATAAAAGCAGATCAGGTGAAACTTTATTGCTCCCCGAAGGTGGGATGCAAACATGGACCAACCGGTTCCTCCTTGGTCTTTCACCACTAATGAAGATCATGTTTTTAAAAGTGACCCGAGGCCTGATTTAGGGTCAGGGTTATGGTGGAGGGCAGAAGACTGGAAAGAACGGAGCCAGGTGATTACCTGCAGGCTGAACAGGTGTGTGTGTGGGGGGGGGGGGGGGGGGGGGGGGGGGGGGGAGGCGGACGCGGGCGCGGCGGCCGCTTGTATACGCACCAGCGGTGCCAGGCG